GGTGGGGTCCAGAGGGGGCCTGATGGAGCGCTGAGGGTGAAGTCCAGGCCCAGGTGACAGGGAGGAGGGTGCATTGGGGGGGGGGTAGCTGTGTCTGCTCTATCCAAGCCCCGCAGACATTCCTGCCCCTATCTTCAGTGTTCCCCACTCCTCACCCCAACTGTCCAAACACTGCCCACGTGAGCTGTCACCTCTTCCAGGAAGTCTGCCCTCCATGGCAGGGGCGTGCCTGAGCTGGTTTGGTTCTCCCAGGGCTGGTGCCTGGGTGGGCACTGCCTTGAACTGATGAGTGGAGAAGAGACAGGACAGAGGAGAGCAAGGGGGCCAGGGACCAAGGCTGAGGGCCCAGGGACCCAGAGAGGCCCACCCAGCATCGCCACCGGCCGTGCTTGGGCAGCCAGCAGTGGGAGATGACCTGGTCCTGTTGCCCCGAGTTCTCAGTCCACTTTGGGATGGGGAAAAGAAGACACACCAGGGTGTCTTGCCAGAGCCCCCTCTCAGGCCTGCTCTGGTCCCCTCGCCTCCCCTCCACTCTGATCTCCTCTGTGCTTCCTGCTCTGTTTCCTACAGACCCCGAACAGCCAGGGGAGGTGTCGGCCTTGGGGCCAGGCCGGGCGGGGGCAGTGCCTAGGGCCCGGGGCCAGCCAGGGGGACCGTGGGGGGAGAGCCAGTCCAGCGGCCCCTCCAGCCCTGAGAGCAGTGACGACGAGAGCCCAGGCCGCAGCTCCAGCCCCCTCCGCCTGGTGCCCTTCTCCAGCCCCAGGCCCCCTGGAGAGCTAACGGGAGGGGAGCCCCTGACCGAGGACTGTGAGAAGAGCAGCGACACTTGTAACCCACTGTCAGGTAGGCAGGTAGGGTGAGGGCCGAGGGGAGGGGCATGGCGTCTGTCCTGGTCTCCCTCACCCAGCTCTCTGGCTCCAGGGGCCTTCTCAGGAGTGTCCAACATCTTCAGCTTCTGGGGGGACAGTCGGGGCCGCCAGTACCAGGAGCTGCCTCGATGCCCCGCCCCTGCTCCAAGCCTCCTCAACATCCCTCTTTCCAGCCCCGGCCGGCGGTCTCGGGGCGAGGTGGAGAGCAGGCTAGATGCCCTCCAGAGGCAGCTCAACAGGTGAGGGCAGCCCTGGGGTCCAGTCTAGCCCCCACCGGGTGTGGGGAGGGCCTGTGGGCAGCCCTGGGGTCCAGTCTAGCCCATGCTGGGTGTTGGGGAGGGCCTGTGGGCAGCCCTGGGGTCCAGTCTAGCCCCCGCTGGGTGTGGGGAGGGTCTGTAGGTTATGCGGTACCAGATTTGCAGTGTGATCTGTGGGTTCCTGGCAGTATTGTACGGAGAATGGAGAGTGTCCGTCCAGGCCTGCCTGTGTGTCTGGCAGTGTGACCCTGTTCTGTGGTTCAGAGCTGAGCCAGGGGCTGCCACACCTGGAATGGAGAGTGAGCCTGGAGTTGACCAGCTGGCCCATCCATAGAGTGCCCCAAAGTCACAGCTAATGGGTCTCCGCTTCCCTGAGACCCAGAGTGTCCCCCTCCTTGCCCCAGGCTGGAGACCCGTCTCAGTGCAGACATGGCCACCATCCTGCAGCTGCTACAGAGGCAGATGACTCTGGTCCCACCCGCCTACAGTGCTGTGACCACCCCGGGCCCGGGCCCCACCTCTGCCTGCCCTCTGCTGCCTGTCAGCCCCATCCCCACCCTCACCCTGGACTCGCTTTCTCAGGTGAGTTCCAAAGCTCCCTCCTGCCAAGGCACCCCAGCCCTGCCTTTTCTGAGCCAGGTCTGCTTTGCTGCCTTTTCTGGTTGACCCTGGGCCCCAGCCTCCCCCCAGACTGTGCTCCTGGAGGGGGGCAGCCTCAGGAGCTGTGGGCTCAGGGCAAGGCAGGAGAGCCCCCAAACCAAAGCCCCCTGACAGCTGGGCAGAGGTGCCAGCAGGCCAAGTGGTGTGGGCTCCCTTATGTCACCTGGATGGCCTGATCTGCTCATGGTGCCTGTGTTGTGACCACAAGTGGTCTGCGGGGGGACTGATGAGCCTGAGGTCTGGTCGTCGGTTCCGAGTGCCAGTGAGCCCTTGGGACAGGGTCCCAAGTCCCTGGTGTGAATGGCACCCCCAGGCCTGACTGTTGCCAGCCATTGGCTATCACGCTGGCTGCCTTGCAGGCTGTCTTGAGGGCTTCGGCTAGTTTCTAGGTGGCACCTCTGGCCCCCATCTTTCTCCTCCTGCCGGACACGGGCCTCTGTTGCCCTTTGTTCTCTCCTGAGTGGCCTCCTAAGAGACAGCTGAGTCTGGGCCTCTCTGGTAGCCTGGGAACTGTCCCTTTCCTCTGGCATCTGCTCCCCCTCCCACGCACTGCCTGCTGTTTGCAGACACAGGGCCGCGTCAGCAAATGTGCCAGTCTCCCTTCACAGCCTTCCTGCGGATCTCACTGCGGGCTTGTCAGCACCGCCAGACCCCCTCTGCACCCACAGACCTCTCTGCCTGCTCTGCAAGTTCCCTGGCCTTCTGGGCCCGGCCTCCAGCCTGCCCCTGCATTTGGTCCCTGAGTTCATTCTAGATTGGAGGAACCTTGTTTCTCTTTCTGTCCCAACTCAGGGTCCCTTATTCTGGGCTGGTGTGGATTCAGCTGCTATGTCCCTGGGAAGGAGTGGCTGTGGCCTTGAGTGCCCCCCACCCCCCACTATCTGGGGAAGCTCCCACAGCCCCCAGCTGCCCAGTTTGGCTCCTGCCCGCCGACAGTACATTTCTCTATTTCCACCCTCAGAGCCTCTCCCTGTGGTTCATGTTCTGTCCTGCTCCGTCTGCCTTGGCCCTTCAACTTGTTCTCTCCAGCCCCTTCCTGACCCCCTGTCCTCTGTCACCGGATCCTCCTGACCCTCCCTGAACTCTGACCCTCCTCTCTGTCCATTTGACTGCCCCTCCATTCCCTCCTGTACCCTCCGAGGGCTCCTTGCCTCTTACACTCTGTCCTTTGCAGGTTTCCCAGTTCATGGTGTGTGAGGAGCTCCCCCCGGGGGGCCCAGAGCTCCCCCAAGATGGCCCTACTCGACGTCTCTCCCTGCCGGGCCAGCTGGGCGCCCTCACCTCCCAGCCCCTGCACAGACACGGCTCAGACCCAGGCAGTTAGTGGGGCGGCCGGTGTGGACACATGGCTCACCTAGGATTCAGCGCTGCCCGGGCCCCTCCCCTCGGAGGCCCCGCCCTGGAGGCCCCGGCCACGAAGGGGAGAGGAACTCGAAGGCACAGCCCCTCCTGAGCTCTTGGGACCATCTCCTGCTGTCCCCTGGGCCTCAGTGGGAGGGGCAGGGGCAGGGCCGGGCAGTGGACAGGGGGGGTCTGTGGTCCCCCCACTGCCCTGGGGGCAGTAGCTGGTCTAACTGCCCGGACAACCGGCCCTGGGCCTTAGGCACCTCAAGGACTTTTCTGCTATTTACTGCTCTTATTGTTAAGGATAAGAATTAAGGATCATATGAATAATTAATGAAGATGCTGATGACTATGAATAATAAATAATTATCCTGAAGAGACCGCAGTGGTGCTGGGGGGTGTGGCATAAGCATGCAGTGTCCTGTGTTCACACTGCCGTGTGTGTGGGCGCTGGCCTCTGTAGGAATCCATGCTCGGCCTGCAGGGGCTGCCTTGACGTCTGAGTGCGGAGCGTGTGAGGTGGTGGGTGCTCCCTGGGGCTGCCTTCATGGGCCCTGGACTCAGGAGAGCACGGACCCACCTGGGCTGTGTGAACGTAGAGGCAGGCCTGGTGGGTGCAGGCCTGGTGGGTGCAGGCCTGGTGGGTGCAGTCCTGGTGGGTGCAGTCCTGGTGGGTGCAGGCCTGGTGGGAGGCAGCCCTGGTGGGTGCAGGCCTGGTGGGTGCAGGCCTTGTGGGAGGCAGCCCTGGTGGGTGCAGGCCTGGTGGGTGCAGGCCTGGTGGGAGGCAGCCCTGGTGGGTGCAGGCCTGGT